CCAAAGTCCCACTCTTGGTTGTCTGTCCATAATTCATCACACTATCAACCCCAAAAGCCACATGCTGTGCAGGGTTTATTCCAGCCCCATGACAACAGCAGCCCGTGATCCCTGGAACAGCCCGAATGCCTGTCCACAAGGGACCGGGTCAAGGGTCCACACTGTGCAAATATGCTCATCACAAGGAACCATGACAGGCAGTGATGGAGCAATGGAACGAGTCCAGGGTGCAGTAAAGCAATGAAAAAAAAAAAATAGTGGATTTAGCTAGTGGGCAATAAGACCAAGTAAAACAAACACTGGGAGACATTAATAAAAAAAGGGGGGGTTAGATTTCTGTAGAACTAAACAGTATTGATGAGCTACTTTAGATCACTTTGAAGTAATTGATAAATAGAAAAAACTTATATATTTTTCCCTTACACCACTCGACCTATTAGCTAATTATAGCCATCAGGGTCCATCAGAGTGATCCAGTATCAGCCCAAATAGCCATATGCTGTGCAGTGTTTACTCCAGCCCATGACAACAGCAGCCCATGGTCCCTGCAACAGCCAAATGCCTGTCCATAGGGGGCCGGGTGAGTCCACACTGTGCAATATGTTCACTGCAACATATTGCCTTGACAGGCAGCCATGGAGCAATGGAGTGAGTCCAGGGAAATGTGAGCAGTAAAGCAATGAAATAAAACACACTGGATTTAGCTAGTGGACAATAAGACAAAGTAAAAGAGGCACTGGGAGACATTAATAAACAAGGGGGGGTGTAGGGGATCATTGGGGAAGAGAGTGTCCAGGACAGTGGCAGAGAATACAACTGAACTTCATGTCCACAACACACACCAATGAGAGAGTGAGAAGAGACTCAGACGGAAGTTTGAGGGGGGCAGAGCCCCAAGGAGAGGTGACAGCTAGGATTGGCCCCAATGACCATATTTATATTCCAGGTCTCCCCACTTCATTCTGTTATTCTGGGTACAGCTGCTTCTCCCCAGTGAGGGCCCTGCCAGCTCCTGCAGCCCCAGGCCAGCCCCACCCTGGGGACTGGGACTGACCCCCTCGCCTCTCACACAAAGGGGAACTGAAAGTGGATCATGGGTTTACATGGAGGATGTAGAACCCTCAACTCTTAGAGTAACCCAAGGGAACATTGTTGGACATGCATTAGGTGAAGAGTGGGTGCTGGGGGCACCCTTCTCCCCAGCTTCTAGAAATCAGGCACTACTGTGCCCTGCCAGTATGGACACCTTCCTAACACTCCCCCCTTTTCCTGGGGTGGCCCCTGTAGACCGGGACAGGATGGTCCTCACAGTTCATCTCCAACCCGCCAGCGACAGTGTGTGGCTGGAACAAGAAGGAGCCCTCGCCAGTGGCTGCTGCTCTGTTGAGGCCTGGCTGGTCAGCCCTTTGTACTGAGACTTGGCTCTTTTGTCTTAGGTGTGGACTCAGAGGTGTGGATGGTCACGGATCAGCCCTGGTGGGGACAAGGGCTTCACCTGCAAGACTCTGAGCTGGTCCCTGCTGTTCTTGGCTCATGTTCTCTACTGCATCAGGAAGTAGGTGTCCTAGTCAGGGGGGAGCCCTGGCTGTGAGCCCCCAGGAGCTACAGCAGGTCGGGGCACAGAAGAGCGCCCTCTGCTGCCCCCAGGTGGGATGGCGGGTCCCCACAGTGCCAGGTCACCCTTGAGACACACTGACTTGGGTAATGTGGTATCAGCATGTCCTTGGTGTCCTGAGCAAGGAGTAGCCAGGATAATCACCCTGGGAATGAGGAGCATTCACAGTTGATTACACTGTTCCCCCCTGCCAGAAGGGGGACTCATGGGGATACCCAATGCTAGGAAGGATGGAATTTGGGGGACACAGCCATTGCCTCAACTTCCATGGTTCACTGCACGCGCTGAGAGCACCGAGCACATCAAACCCAGGGTATGGGGGTGTCATCCAGTGCAGTGGGCAATGAGGGCCCTTCAGGGTGGTTGTTGGCACCCCTGGGTGGGGGGATTAGTGGGTCTGCTAGATTGAACGGCCTGCTTGGCTGCCATTCTTCTTGCATGTGGTCTGTCCTGCAGTACAAGGTCAGAACGGCCCAGTCAATCAGTTATATGATCGAGAAGAATGTAAAATACCAGATCCTACAAGGCTCCTTTCAAATTAAACAAGAGCAGCCCCCTTGATGGCCCGGGGACATTGTGTACACATCAGAGGTATAATGGGGACGCCCTGGGGCTGTTGACTGAGGTATGATTTTGCATCCCGGAGACTGATCAGTGCAACACCTTGTTGATAAGATTGGCACCATGGGTGAGGGTCTGGGGGATTTTTTTTTGAAAGATTTATTTTATTTATTTATGCATACAAGACCTGGGGTTCAGGCCAGAGGTATGTGTGTGTGGTGGGTGAGAGGATTCACCAGAGACAGAGTGGGGTGCAGAACAGTGGGATCTACTGAAATACACTGCTGAGGGGAGCAGCAGGAGAGACAGGAGAGGTCTCTGGTACCACATGGGTCAGCTTCCTGGTTGGGGATCAAACTCATGCTGCAGTGGCTGCAATAGTTATCGTGCTGAGACTTAACCCCTACACCACCCGGGAGGCCCCCCTTAACAGTATATTTCAATAAATCCACCTGTTTGTTTTCTACTCTGTCTCTGGTGAATTCTTCAATCTCTGAAACTGGCTTCACCCTCATCTTCTCCCCACGGTAACAGGGTGGTCCCCAGGAAAGGGGGAGTTTCCAGGTTCCCTGCCCCACCCAAGGGAGGTTGGAGCTGAGCAGGGTGGAGAAGAGGCTGGAGAGGAGACTGAGGAAGGAAGGAAGCAGGATGGAGCCAGAAGGAGACCTGGAGGAGGCTCGTGGAGCAGAGACATGTGAAGAAGCTGCACTTGCTTCTTGGTCCTGGACTGGGTGAAACAGAGGGAGGAACACGGTGGCGACGGCTATGACAGTGCCAGGGGGGTGACAGTGCCATGTGGGTAACACTGCCAGGTGGGTGCCCAGCTGGGCAGGGCACGGGGTGGGAGTTGGGGACCTGGAGGGGCGTGATCCCTAAGCCCCAGACTGTCTCCTAGCGACCCGCACCTGAGACCCTGGGCCCTGGGAGCGCCTCGGTGCACGAGCACCCCATTAGGCGGTGTGATCTCCATGTTTACAGAAATACCAGCTCCGGGCCAAGGCCGCTGGTCAGTGGCTCAGAAGTTAAGGGACGCTCGCCCTGGTGCTCGCCCTTCCCCAGCGCACCTCGACCCCTAGGTGGGATCCTCCCCCCATGGCCCTTTGTCCTCCCATCTCTGGGGGATCTGAGCACCTCCTCTGTCCTGCTAACATCACCACTCTCTGGCTACAAATCCAAGCTTCCTAACATGTTCAGTAATTCCACTCAAATCCATGGAATTCTTTTCTTTTCTGAGCGTCTTCCCAGCTGGTAGAACAGGTGCCCGGCAGTCCTTGCCTCCAGCTTCCCAAAGAGGAGAGAAGGGCTTACCATGGGGAGGGGCAGGTCCAGTGGGAAGGAAACCAATGGGGGATGGGAGGAGGAGAAACTGATTTTCAAAGGCTCTGGGCCCCCAAGGAGTCAGGATGGCTTCAGCTGAGGCTGGAGCGGGAGGGGCAGGTGGAGGGTGAGCCATTTAGGTCAAAAGGGCTTTGAGCTCATCCTAAAGGCTCTGGACATTTGAGGAGGGAGAAAGACCCAGCTGTGCTCCCTCCCTCCAGCACGCAGAGATGTGGGCCTTGGAGACTGGTTCTGTTCACTGTTCTGAGGCTCCCCAGCTAGGAGACTGGACTGCAGGGTGTAGGGGGAAGAGGTATTCAGGAGACAGAAGGCAGGCCCTGGGGGTGAGGGTCAGGGTGAAGGGAGGTGGAAGGAGAGAGTCCTCATTTCTAAGGAATGCCTTGAACTATGGGCTGGGGCCTGTGGGGGCTGGGCATGGGGGATGGTGTTTTCAGATTAAACTTTGGTCCCTTTGAACTTGCAACCTTCCTGAGGTCACAGGTTTTCTCTTACCTGCCTGGTTTTGCACCATTTCCCCTGCCGGGTCTGTTCTTTCTATTTGACCCTTCTCTGTTCTCTGCTTTTCTGATGGAGGAGAGAATAGAAACCCTAAAGGAGACCTCCAAGTCTACACCTGATTCACACAAGGAGGTCCGGGCGGAGGGGATTAATGTGTCAATTAGCCCAGCTGTAGAAATCAAGATCCTTAGAGCCAGTGCCATGTCCCTAGGCATAAGGCCCAAGCAGGTAGCAGATGCTGTAGGGTTGTACGGAGCACAGACCTGAGGGTAAAGATGGAGATTGGGCCCCACTCTTGCATCTCTGGTCCCTTTCTAGTTTTGCCTGTTACCCAACATCAGCATCAAGCAGGGGGCTCCACGGAGTGACCCTCCCAAAGAGAAAAGGACTGTATCAGTGCAGTCTCTGCACAGGCTCGGGGCAGCACTCCCTCTGCCCACCTGTGACTATGCACGTGCCTCTTTCTACCAACTCTCTCCCTCTGCAGGGCAGCAGCCTCCCTGCCTGCTGGCAACCTGAACCTGACCTGAACCTGCCAGGATTTCACTGACCTCCCTCAGAGGAAGCAGCTCGGGGTTGCCTCAAGGCCAGCCTGCGGCCTGAACTGAGAGCATGCAGGCCTCTCTCAGCACACCTATCCCTTTCAGGGGAGCTCCTTCTGCCCCCCACCCCCAACTTGTGTCTATGCAAGTGTCCTTTATTCTCCTCTTCTCTTTTATAATAAACCTGCCCTTTTGGATATAACTAACATCTCTGTCTTGTGGAGAAATTCACCTCCGAGCCCGCCGGTGCTGGTGAAGGGGGAGCTCTGGTGAAACCTTCCCCAGAGTGAACCCAAAGACACCGCACTCCCAACCCAACAACTCCAAAAAACACGAGCCAGCTTCCAGTAGCTTCAGCTCTGCGCTCTGGCAGGAGGTTTAGGCGGGTCTGCCTGGCCCCAGGGAGGAGGAGCCAGTCGGTTCAGTTTCTGTGCTGGTCACTCAGCAATCCAATGGGCTGCTGACTGCTAACCAGCTCCACAGAGATCTGGAACAAAGGCTTTATTCTAGGGAACCTCATCTGTGCAAGACGAGGCCTGGGATGAAGACCACAGCCCCTTCTAACCCAACCTCTCACTCCTTTTCTGGGACCTGCCCTGCTCCGGCCGCCCCGCCCCAGCAGGAAGTCCCCCCGGGAGGGGACCCGAGACCCGCGCTGGGCGGGGAAAGCACCTGGGGCTCTCGCTGGATTTCTGCACCTGAAGCCCCGAAGATTCGGCTTCTACGCGGCCACGGGGAAGGAGTGCAGGGGCGACAGAACCAGGTGGGTGCCCGGCTGGGCAGGGGGCTAGGCGGGAGCTGGGGAGCGCCTCGGGGCACGCGCACCCCGAGAAGGCGGTGCGATCTCCATGCACAGAAATGCCGCTCCCGGGCCGTGGCCGCTGCTCAGTGGCGCAGACTAAGGGTCACTGGCCCTGGGGCGGGTGGTGCCCAGCGGGCCTCGCCCCCTGGCGGGGATCCTCGCCCCTAGACCCTTGGTCTTCCCCTCTCTCCCCATCGGGGATCTGAGCACCTCCTCTGTCCTGCTAACATCACCCCGCTGTGGTTGCAAATGCAACCATGGAATTCTTTTCTTTTCTGAGCGTCTTCCCGGCTGGTAGAACAGGCGCTGGCAGTCGGAGCCTCCAGCTTCCCACAGAGGAGAGAAGGGCTCACCACGGGGAGGGGCAGCGGTCCTGGTGGGAAGGAGACCAGTGCGGGATGGGAGGAGGGAGAATCTGATTTTCAAAGGCTCTGGGCCCCCAAGGGGTCAGGATGGCTTCAGGCTGAGGCTGGAGCGGGAGGGACAGGTGGAGGGTGAGCCATTTAGGTCAAAAGGGCTTTGAGCTTATCCTAAAGGCTCTGGACATTTGAGGAGGAGGAAGACCCAGCTGTGCTCCCTCCCTCCAGCACGCGGAGATGTGGGCCATGGAGACTGGTTCTGTTCACTGTTGTGAGGCTCCCCAGCTAGGAGATTGGACTGCAGGGGGTGGGGGTGGGCCAGGTGTAGGGTGAAGAGGTATTCAGGGGGCAGAAGGCAGGCCCTGGGGGGCGAGGGTCAGGGGTGAGGGGACTTGGAAGGAGAGAGGCCTCATTTCTAAGGAATGCCTTGAACTATGGGCTGGGGGTTGTGGGGGCTGGGGTGGGATGGTGTTTTCAGCGTCCCCACTTTCAGCAGAAAACAGTCATTGATCAGACCTACGTCCTTTGTCCTAACAGCAGTTAGGTGCTCCACTGTAAAGGGGGAAATGAGACACAGGGCAAGCTAGAAATTAGGCAGTTTTAGGGACAGTGCAGGAGGGGACCTCTGAAGAATTTAGGGAGGCTTCAGAGATAAGGACAACCAAGGGAAAGTAACCCATTCCACTGGGAAAAACAAACACTCCAGGACTAAGGACAACATGTTAATGCTAGTCCTGGTTTCCTTCAGGTGGTAAAGGGAGGCGGAGATTGGGGAAATGGAGAGTGGTTTAATTTATGGACAACTTAGAAGGGCAGCTGTTTAACTTCAATGCAGGGATGCCCATCCAGAGGACTGGGCCACAAAGATAAAGATGCAACAAATGGGGAAAGACAGACCTGCTAGATAAGGAATGTGAAGATCCCCCACTCAGTAGCAAATTAAGTGAGACAGCAGAGAACTAACCAATCACAAAGAAACAGGTGGAGCTTTAGAATAATGAGGGAAAGAAGGTCTATATTCCCTGAGACACAGCTCCACTTTGGCTTCCTTGCCTCTCCCAGGCCTGGGAGTCCCAATTTATTTCTGCTCTTTTTCTCCTCAATAAACTTTTTCTTTCTCAAAACAAACCTGCCTCTTCTCACTTGCTTGCCTGAGCGTCTGCGAAGTTCCTGCTGCGGCTTCGTGAGACACCAACCCGTGGGGGTCTAGTGGCTGGGGCTCAGCGCTGCCCTGCAGCCTGGGATCCGTTCATGGCTGGGAGACTAGGCCTGACAATTCCGGTATCACCGTCAACTTCCACTCTTCTAGAGTAAAGGGAATTAAAAAACCTCTTGTAAGCCTGAAACCCTACCTTAACTTGAAATTATCCACCCTTCCCTCAGGAAGAATGGGGAGGAGACCTATTTCCCCATCCTTCATACGCAGAACTGAGATTGTGTCATGGAGACCAGCCCCAGAAGCTTTACACTCCTGATTTCTTTCTGCTCCTCTTCCCTGACACTGCGCAGCGGCTCAGGTGGGAGGATTGTTCCTTATGGGAAAGGATGGAACCCGAGCACTCCCAGGCGGTGGTGTGCTGTGTGTGCCAGCAACCCAGGCCCACTGCTTTCTCCCAGTAGGTTTGATCTGCTGCCATGAACACACTTAGCTAGTTGTTTTAGTTGGACTTATTTTGGATGGAGAGCAACAGGAACTATTTTCCTCCAGCTGGAAATATTTATGAGCTTCAAGATAAAAAAGGGGGGCCGCCCTGGTAGTGCAAGGGGTTAAGACGCAGCACTATGAAGATGTCCACAGCCGCTGCAGCACGAGTTCCATCCCCCGCCAGGGAGCTACCCACATGAGGTCTGGCGCGCAGACCTCTTCTGCCTCATCATCTGATCCCCTCAGCAGTGTATTTCAGTCAGCCTGTCTGTTCTGTTCCCCAGCTCTTATATGCATAAATAAATAAATCTTTAAAAAAAGAAAAAGAAAATGCTGTGGAGCATTTATGGTAAAAATCTGCTGTACAGCGCATTATTGCCCACTTTCATTATTTTCTCAACAGGCGCTTTGTTTAAACACGGCGAAAGACATTCACCGGGGCCTCCAGTCACTTCTCACTGAAGTGAACAGACCCGGCACCCAGGATTTGCTGAGAACAGCCAACCGGTTCTTTGGAGAAAAGTCTTGGGAATTCCTCTCTGTAAGTTACAGCAGCTCCTCCTGCCCGCGTGTGTCTATGCCAGTGTACTTAGCTTTTCTGTCCCTCTCCTAATAAACCTTCCCTTTAAATAGAACTACTGTCTCTGTCTCGTGGAGAAACTCGCCTGGGAGTTTGCCATGTGCCGCTGAAGCGGGAGCTCTGGTGACCCCTTTCCAGACTGAACCCGCACTCCAAACTCCAAAAACCTCATCATTTTGGTGCCCAACACGTGGTTTTTCACGGCATCAGTAAGATTTCTCCAGTTTCTCTATCTTCATGCTCTTCCAAACTCTCCTTTTCTGAGAGGAGTTGGTGTTCAGCGACTGCCTGGCTGGCCTACACGGACTGAGGGGCTCAGGCCAAGGTTACTCTTTGACGGGTCCCAAATCCTGGGGCAATGGCCTTCCAGTGGCCCTAGGCCCGACCAGGTGAACACCTCATGCCTCTCTCTTTGCCTCACTACCTTGGCAATCTCAGTTGAGCTGCTGTTCCCTCTCTGCCTCAGGAAAAGCGCTGGCTCCTGAGTTCTGTTTTCAAACCAGGTCTTGCTGTCGCTGGAAAAAATAGCGGGCACAGTTCAGCCATGTAAGAGGCCACTTGGGCCGGCTGCCACTGTCTAGAAGACTGCCGTGAGAGGATAAGTTGGTGTGCACCCCGGGTTAGCTCGAGTCCCACCAACCTCAAGACAAAGGGTGCAGCATCACAGGAACTCGTGATAAGCACCAGCATATCCCACCCCATGGCTCTCCACCTCTTAGAATTGTAGCAACGAGACCTGGACCTGATTTTTACAACCTCTCATCTACTACTGCTCTTTCCTAACTTGAAGCACAACCTTCCACTGCTTCATTTCTGTCAAGTCAACAAACCCTAAGTAGCCAGTAACCCAGCCAGCCTTTTTCTTGCTCAGGTAGAGCTCCCCCTCAGGAAGCTCCCCGTCTCTGAATCGTTGTCTTTTAGGTGCCTTCCTGTCACCGGTACTTTGAGAGCCTCCTTCCCTTGCTATGGGGACAAGATTTCCTCTCGGATAATAAATGGTAGTAAGATCAGCCATAAGTGGGCCAAATGCAAGCTATCCTTCTTAAATAGGAATTCTGAGACAGCCTTCCTTCCACCCAGAGAGATAATGGCAGGGACAGATGGTAAGTTGAGGCCTGGGGGTTCTCAACCTGGGAAGTTCCTCCTCAGGACACCCACAAAAATAGGACTACTCCTCTGTGGAGCATGCCCGAGGCTGCCCTCACTGTAATCTGTTTGGGACAGATTCAAATCTTTCAGGCACTGACCCGTGATGGGATCTGCTCCCTCCATTTCCACGGACTCTCCTCTGGGTTCTCTCTTTAACGAGTGGAAGAAATTATTGGGTCTCAATGATTTTAAAAAAAACCACAAAACTTAATCTGCTAATGTAATTCAGCCTGGTCTCTCTACAAGCGACAAGGCCAAGAGGCGTGGCCAATTAATGGAACCTTAAACTTTACCACCTTCTGCAATTAGATGCATTTTGTAGAAAATATGATAAATGGATTAAGATCCCGTATGTTGTGGCCTTTATGGCCTTCAGCAAGACTCAAATCTCAGCAAAGTTTGCCGAATATGCCTGGCCGAAATAGACTCCTTAAGCCAAAAAGGGGAGGATTCTACAGATATCCTAGATGACCCTCCACTTGCCAGGCCTCTTCCATCCGTCACTCTTGAGCCTCCAGCTCACCTTGAACTCGAGGCACCCCTAGACTCCCTGAAGCCACCACCCTCCTACAGAACTGTGCCTTCTTTGACAGAATCAAGTCCTGCCAGGCACACTCGAAGTGGGGCTCCTTACCATCCTCAAACCATTACTTTGCCTAGACCCTGCCCACTCCAGGAGGTGGCAAATGGAGACTCTGGGACTATTAGAGTCATGTGCCCTTCTCTATGACTGCCCTAATAGGGTGTAAGGAAAGATTTGTCAGATTTTCTGAGGACCCTGGAAAGTTTACAGATGCGTTTCAGGCTCTTGCCTTAGCATTTGACCTAACCTGGCAGGATATTCATATTATTCTCTCCACCTGTTGTACTGTGGAAGAAAAGCAGAGAATCTGGGTTGAAAGCCAACAATTTGCCGATGACCTGGCGAGCAGACAGCCAAACCAATATGGTGTGGGTGTGGGAAATGTTGCGGGTCCCAACAATGACCGTAATGGGAACTGTCAGAGGGGACAGGCAGATCTAACTCAGAGAGATCATAGGATCACTTGTCTCATAGAAGGAATGAAAAGGTGTGTATCCAAGCATGTAAATTATGAAAAAATCAGGGAAATCACTCAGGAACCGGGTGAAAACCGGGTGAAAATTGCCCCAGCTTTCAAGGGCGATTAGTGGAAGCCATTCGCAAGTTCACAAACCACAGTCCTAATACAAGAGAGGGCGAGGTGATTGTGGGGACTCGTTGTATTAGTCAGTTCACACCAGATATTTGCAGAAAATTCCAAAAACTAGCCATGGGACCCCAAACTCCATTCCATCAGTTTTTAGAAGTGACTTTTAAAATCTTTAATAGTAGGGACCAAAGTGAAGGTTTAGAGAAGGAACAAAGAACCTGTCACGGCCCCATGCGACAGGTGCAGCAAGTCTGGACACTGGACCGAGCACAAATCGTGCACAACCCAGAAATCCACCTGGGCTGTGCCCCCAGGTGCAAGAAGGACGGCCCTGGAAGAGGGATTGTCCCCTTCTCCATAAGAAGGAGGGACCAGTCCCTCAGCTGCCAGCCCGCACCTCCTGGATGAGAGGAGACGGGGCACAATGACGTCGCCAGCTCCCCAGCTGACCGTCTCCATGGCTGAGCCTAGGGTAACCCTGGGTGTTGCAGGTAAAATTATTAATGTTCTGATTGCTACGGGAGCCACTTACTCTACTCACTCAGCATTCTGGACCCTTCCTCACAAAATACAGAGGCAGGAAAAAGAGAGTGGAGGGCTTGAAGCACCTTAGGAGATGGAAAACCACGAAAATACCAATCCACTCACCCTGTTCCTGTTCTTATTCCAGTTCTATAGTCTCTCATTCCTTTCTTATTACCCCCAGCTGTCCAACTCCCTTACAAGGAAGACATTTGATGACAAAGCTGGGAACCCAGTTGCTTTCTTGGAGACTCCGGCCCTCACTGAACTTTTTGCAGTCTGCCCGTTCTGCTCCCCACTCTGTCTCTGGTGAATCCTCTCACCGACCCCCCCACCCGCACCTCTGGTCTGTACCCCACTTCTTGTATGCATAGGTAAATATATCTTTTAAAAAATAAAATAAAATGGTCTCTCAGTTTCCTCCACAGGCATCCTCTGAACTACAATATTCCTGCAAAGAGTCCAGGACTGGAAATATTTCTTCAGAAGACAAAAAAAGGGCACTGGAGACCACGGCCCTGACAGTGACCTACCAGAAATGAGGGAGGGACAATCCAGCTCCTGATTGCATCACCACGCTTATTATATCTTCCTTAATTTCTTCCTATTCTCTCCTTCTCTACGTGTATGGATAACCTCATGGGGTTTCTCCTGACAATTCAGGGACTTCTTAACCACGTTGCCCTATCTGGCCAGGAGACTCCACAGTCAGGACACACTCTAGCCGGAACAACACAACGATATCCTAATAAAACTAACTGCTAGATGTGCATAAACTCCCGGACAACTCCAGGTCCTGCCAAGCTGTGGGCAACCACTCCGGTGGGCCTTCGCCTAAGGAGCCAACCACTGCACATCTCACAAGGATATGAGTCTGTGACTAAGGTGCTTCAAGCCCTCCACTCTCTTTTTCCTGCCTCTGTGGGCATAGATCCTGCCCCGGTGGAAGAGCGTGTCTTCACTAAAGTTACACTCACTCCTGATGCCACCTACCCTATCTGTGTCCTGTCCCACGCGACAGGGGGCACCCCAGGGGGAGGTCTTCACCCATCTCTCTGTGAACATAAACTCTGGGTAAACTCATCTACAGACTACCCCCCACTCGTGGGTACAAGCTACCGGAATGCTCTGTATCTTCTGGACCAAAGAAATTAGTCGGTATAAACAGACCTCAGAACCTAACTCTCCTCAGTCCTAACCCGGAAGCTAAAACTTTTCTGTTCTGGACGCCCTGTCGGGTGCCGCAAACCTTAATAGTGGGAGCCCAGGGAACACGCAAGCATCTTAAGTTCTCTTCATCCACTAATAACACAATCTTCTTTGACTCAGTTTTAGAAAACACTTCGCCAAATAAATCACAAAAAAATCATAACTGCACAAACCTTCTAATGACAATGGCCCCGGTTGCCAGCCGATACAAATGACACACGTCTTGTAAACCCCGCTGGACATGGAACCCACCAGCTCAGGAACCTAGCGTTCTGGCAAATATAGATCATCATGCCACGCGTCCCCGCACAGCGGCCTGATTTCCCCCAGCCAGGACAGGTCTTTGCTCCTTGGGATTTGTTACACCGCATATTAGCAATGCAGGGCATGCCTGGTGGGTCAAGGGGTAAAGACCCAGCACTATGGAGCTATCTGCAGCTGCACCCTGGCCAGGGAGCTACCCACATGGCACAGCAGACCTCTCCTGTTTCACCCGCTGCTCCCCTCAGCAGTGCGTTTCCATCAATCTGCCTGTTCTGTTCCCCACTCCGTCTCTGGTGAATCCTGTCACCCCCGCACCTCTGGACTACACCCCAGTTCTTGTATACATAATGTAGGGTAAAGAAATTATCAGGCTTTTCTGCCCTTCCGCCATCAGGATAGATGATGGATCCTTGTCCTGAATGCATGCCTGATGGGGGGCACCTGGAATAGGGTGTGGGCATAGGTAGATGGGATTCAGCTGGGCTAAGACTGGGCTTTTAAGGGCGGCGTCACGGGGGGACGCCAGCAGCAGCAGTAGCAGCAGCAGCAGCAGCAGCAGCAGCAGCAGCAGCAGCAGCAGCAGCAGCAGAACCTGAAGGAGAAGCTGAAGCAGAAGCAGAGAACGCCAGAGAGCCCAGATAGAGTGAAGACTTGCTGGGGGCTGGGATGTCTACCAGCCTCCCAGCCCCCCAGCTAGCACCCCTGCCTGCCATATGCCTGGTGAACCCCAATAAAAGACCTGCAAAACCACTGAGGACTCTGACTCCTCCTTTACCCGGTCTGCATGGGATCAGAAAACCTGCACTGAGGCCAGTCCTGCCTCTACACATAAATAATCTTTAAAAAAAAGAAAAGAAGCCACTCACTCTAGGTCAGGACAGTACCAGGAGTTCACAGAGAGGAGGGATGAGGGAGAGGGTCAGGGAGAAGAGGGGTACAGGAGATGGCAGGGGTGAGGAGAGACCTAAGAAACTGAAAGGGTGAGAGCTTTTGTAGGGATTTGGGGGTTGGGCACTCATTGCCCTCCTGGCACAGCATCTCTCTGTACAAACCGCCCTGAGGAAGAGCCCGCTATGGGCCTGGGGGTCAGGAGCGGCCTCCTGTGAGAAGGCAAAACTAGGAGTGAAGCGATGGCAGCTCTGGGCACCTCCCAGCTGGGCCAGCCTCTGAGTTGGGGGTGTCTGCGACTGTGCAGGCTAGGGGTCAGGCAGAGATGCCCCTTAGGGAGACCACCTCTTCCCAGGGATTTTGTTTCAGGCTCTAGGAGGGCAGAGATCCGGGATGACCCATAGAGAAAAGCCCCTGACCTAGTACAGAGCCCCCAGGTGGAGCCTCTGCATGGGGAGGGGAAAATCCTCACAGTCCATTCCCAGCCCACCTGCGCCACCATGTGGTTAGAACAGGATGGAGCCCTCACCAGTGGCCGCTGCTCCATGGAGGCCTGGCTGGTCAGCCCTTTGCACTGGGACTTGGCTCTTTAGTCTTAGATGTGGACACAGAGGGGTGGACGGTCACGGATAAGTCAAGGTGGGGACAAGGGGTTCACCTGCAAGACTCTGAGCTGGTCCCTGCTATTCTTGGTTCCTGTCCTCTCCTGGCATTGGGAAGCAGGTGTCCTGCTCAGGGGGGAGCCTTCTCTCTCTTTTCCTGTGTGAGTCCTCCCGTGTGTGCTGAGTGGTCAGTGCTCGTTATGCACTTACTGATGTCACTGCAAGTTCCAATTCTCTTATAATCTTTCCCATCAGCGTTAGTACATGGGAGCCCTCCATCTAGAATTTCAGGGTCTCCAAGAGAACAGTTGTGGGGACCATGTAAAGACCTACACTAGATGTAATGCTGGTTATGGGCAGCTCATGCAAACTCTCTTAATAAAACTTTAGAATGAGGGTTGTTTTATTAAAATGAATTTGTTCAAAATTGAAATCCCGTAATGTATATAGCTTCATCCTATGCCCTTAGTTCCTTTTATGACACTCTCAGATCTCCCTACAATGCACACAGATCCGTGAATTCAGTTCCCAGTAACTGCAGGGGGCCTTGCTGCCCCAACCAGCTAAGACACTGGTAAACAAAAGAAAGGGCCTCATACCGTGGGGCTGAAGATTTCCTGCACCCCACACACTCTGGGGCCTAAGATTAATCTGCAACCTACAAACATCCCCTTGTTTTTTGTTCTTGGTCATATAAGAAAAAGCTTCTAGAAAAGTACTTTGGGCAATAAATTATACATATAGAATATTGTAAGTAATTGGCACACAGAAATACCTGCTTAAAAATTAAACACTGTAAATTTGGCCTGCCTGACAATGGGAAAGAGTTTGTTATATATGAACATGCCTAACAAGCAACCCAGGATAACAACTATAGTAAGTTCTTCTTTTGCTTTTTTTAGAAGTTTCTTAGGAAAGTTTTAAAATGAAGTTAATTCTGTTAAGAAGTTTCTAGGTAGAAAACCCTGTTAGCTGATAACCAGAAAGCAGCTGGTCTCTGGCCGAAGGCCATGTGAATAAGAAGAATCTTTTGATGCTTAGGCTCTTAGCTGATAGAAGTGTGCTGACCGCTATCAACTGTCTTGGGTAATTGTCTAGCTGAAATAATGAGTTTTAGTGTAAGCTTTAGTTTTTTATCTATTAACCTTGAAGGTTGCCTTCTTGCTAAGAGCACGTAGCAGCCAAAAAGTCTATGGGAAAAGAAAGCACTGATTGTTTCTGCTTTGCTTCCATGCATATGATGATGTCATCTCACTGCTTGCCTCAGTGTATAAGTAAAGACCCGCTGAGACCCTCAGGAGGAGATACTAACACAAGGCATTGTGTGTGTCTGCCTCATGCCTCAATTTTGCCAACACTGTCCCATCCTTCAGGAACCCCTGACACCCAGTTTGCCGAGGCTGGCTCCCGGCAAGAAACTATCTTAGAAGAAGTCTCATGAGACAAGTGAGCTTGAAGGTTGAGCCCGTTTCCTAGTGTGATCTTTGTAAGATGTTCTACTATAAGGACTTGAAGTCTCTGGAATCTCTTGCCAGGACTGGGAACAGGCAAAACCTGGAGATTACGTTTAGGGTTCTCCATCATTTGTTCTACAGTGAAAGACTCAGAAGGTACTACCTGGGATCCTCAGTGCTGAGTAATAACAACACATTCCTTTGATGGGAGCAAACACCTGGGAATCACTTTATAATTTCCAAGTAAATGTTTTTTGGTTTTTGTTTTTAATTGTTTTTTTTTTTTTAAAGATTTATTTATTTATTTTATACAAGAACAGGGGTACAGGCCAGATGCGTGGGAGGGTGAGAGGATTCACCAGAGACAGAGCAGGGAACAGAACAGGCAGACTGACTGAAATACACTGCTGAAGGGAGCCGCTGGCGAGACAGGAGAGGCCTGCTTCGCCATGTGGGACACTTGCCGGTCGGCCAGGATCGAACCCGTGCTGCAGAGGCTGCGGACAGCTTCACAGCACGGAGCTCAACCGCCTGCGCCACCAGGGGAGGCCCTCCAAGTAAATGTTTATAGAAAATGTTTTCTTCTTTTAGACTCTTCATTTTGACGGAGTTGAAAAGGTTCATTCCAGATTTCAGAGTCTGATCACCACTGTCACCCAGCCAGACGCCTCCTATGTGCTGAAACTGGATAATAGGTTATATGGAGAGAAAACCTATAATTTCCTCTCTGTAAGTACTTTCTGCCTCATATTATAAAATTCATAAAACAATGCATGTTTCCCACCAGCAAAAGGAAGTCTTAGAGGTCATTTCTAATTTTTATAAATATTCAGAAAAAAACAAAGAATGGAAATAGGTAATAGACGATGTTCTCTTTAAGACGACCTGATTTCACCCAGGTTTTCCCGATGAGGAGTGTGGTCCTGACTGTTTAAGGCAAGGGTGATGCCATCATTCACTTCCAAGTGCAGTCAGTATTCATTATTTATGAACATTAGGAAATATTTGGTATTTTATACAATACCAAACTTACTGATCTTTATACTTAAAAATGGTTAAGTTGAATAATATCATGTTATGTATTTTTTCCCATATTACCTTGAACCTAGAAAGGAGCTGATTCTCTGTGGAGGGCGCTGTGTAGAGCTGGTGTTGGGCTCCACTAGTCATCACTAACCCTGGCAGTCTAGACTCAGGAAATCCCCTGTGGGTGGGTCCTCAATGGTGGCCAATGGTGGCCAAGGAGTATAAAGTCTCACTGTGAAGCTATCGCCAACCACTGCAGCACCAGTCTTGTATGCATAAAGTCACACCTGACACTCACCTGCAGCCAGCCCAGGATGGCCAGCCCTGGGGTCAGGCTTATGGACCTTTCCAGCTGCAAAGCCTCTATGACCCCACTTAATGGAAACATCTCTAAGTGAATGAGACCTGCACCTGCAGAACCACAGATTGAAAAGCCTTTTAAAAGGTTTTCAAGACTCCACTCCATTTGGATTTGCTTCTTAAAAGGTCACATTAGCCTCTATTCTGCGGCTTTCTGGGATTGTGTGACCTCAGTGAGAATAGCCTTAAGAGCCTTCCACTGCGTTTCTGTTAAAACAAATCGATCACAGCACTAGGCAAACATCTGTGGATAGCTGGACTTTTGCACTGTGTGGGTTTGCTCTTCTGTGTCTTAAAAGCCAGGAACAGCCCAGGCCTCATAGAACTATAAAATAATTCTTGATTTGCAATTGATATGTGGGGAATTAAACATTTCTTAAAAGTTATGTTTAAAGAAGTGTTTTTTAAATAAGTGAGTTACTGATGCTCAGGGTAAATAAAGAAAACCCCTCAACCCATATTATGTTGTGTTCCTGCAGAGGTGATGATTTCTACATTTACTGTTTATTTCTCACCCTCCTGTGCCTCTGGCCTATACCCCAGCTCTTGTATAAAAATAAATAAATCTTAAAAAAAAAGATTCCAACCATATTTTTAATATGCAAAAAAATACAAAACATGATATTATTTACCTTAACCATTTTTAAGTGTAAAGATCAGTAAGTTTGGTATTGAATAAAATACCCAGTATTTCAGCAAAATTATATTTGGTAAAATTATATAATGATGCAAAATTAGATTTGCATGTACATGTGAACACACCATTTAGTAACCCTAAACTTACAGCTTTGTGAGACCTAATCATCCAACATTAGGCACCGTTTCTATATCACTTTTTTTGGGTTATAATTCTAGTTCCACAAATATGAGTGATTAGGTAAATAAATATTTCTACATGTCTTCGTTTTCCCCAAGAAAATAATAAATGGTGTGCTCACATGTACATGCAAATCTAATTTTGCATCATTATGTAATTTTATCAACTACAATTTTGCTGAAATTTCTGAGAAATAAACAGTAAAAGCAGAAATCATCACCTCTGCAGGAACACAAAGATATTATGGGTTGAGGGGTTTTCTTTAATTAGCCTTGAGCATCAGTAACTCACTTATCTAAAAAACACTTCTTTAAATATAACATTTAGGAAATGTTTAATTCCCCACATATCAATTACGTTTTTTCTCAGTGTCTCTGTGTTATATCGCCACTTTCTCCTTTCCAAGCTTGCTGTCCAGAAGGGATCCTAATGTAGTATATATTTGCATATATAGAGGATGGCAAAATCAGCATGTTCCTCTTTCAATTGTATTTCCACTTTCATCTGTTCTCTGATTATGCAGAGTCTCATGAAAGGGATGACCAACAGCAATAGAACTAGTGTAATGATGGTTCTGTTCTAACCCTATCATGGTAACAAAACAGCAGTGATAACAGCGGACACTTACATAGTCCCTACTGTGTCCCAACTCATTTAATTCTTTTTTTTTTAATTTTATAGAGGCATGTTTATATTTATTTATTTGTTTGTTTGTTTTGTTTATACATGCACTGGGTACAGTCAGAAGCACGGGAGGGTGAGAGAATTCACCAGAGCCAGAGCGGGGAGCAGAGCAGGCAGAAGGACCAAAGTACACTGCTGAGGGGAGCAGCGGGCGGCAGGAGAGGTCTGCGCCATGTGGGACCCTCCTCTGGTGGCTGGGGAGCAGCCAGGGATCGAACCGGCGCCGCAGAGGCTGCAGGCAGGTTCGCAACCCAGCGCTCAACCACTGCGCCACTGGGGAGGCCCACCAACTCATTTAATTCTGATGACAATGTTAGAATAAAGATAGGTGCTGTTATTAGTCCCATTTCAGATGAGGAAGTAGGATCTTTACTATTTTCCCCTAGGAGCTAAATCTATTAGACATTATTGCAGCTCTGTGTGTTCACAGATCATCACAGTGATTAGTGGGTTTGGAATAAATAGAATTGGATAGAAGAAAACTTTTACATTTTCCCTTTCACCACACAACCAATTAGTCAACCTGTAATATAGCCTTCATGGTCATAACCCATCACAGTGATTCCGTATAATGGTGGAGTAATATTGAGTCCTGGGAGAGTGGGTAGACAGATGGGTAGGATGAGGCTGTACTACGGGGTGTGTGGATGCATGGACAGGTGGGTGGATGGAGAGATGGATGATGGTTGTTTGTTGGAGCTGATGTCCAAACTCCCTGTACTGGGGCCCTGGATGACTTGGCCCCAGTCACTCTCTCATTATCCCAATTGCTGGAAAGAACAGGCAGAAAACAGGAAGGAAACGAAAGAGCAACTGACATTAGGGTCTGTTCATTTAAATAACTTTTTAGTACTTACCTATATGAAATTGTTTTCTCTTTGCACATTCTAATTCCAGATCAAGCAGCAGTTGACTTTGGAAAAACTGTGTGCGAATATGGGTCATAGGGATGTCTGTGTCCACTTGCCCAAATTCAAGCTGGAGGAGACCTATGATCTCAGCTCCCACCTGGCTCGCATGGGTGTGGGAGATCTCTTAAGCAGCAGCAAGGCTGATTTGTCTGGCATGACAGAAACCAGAGATACATTTGTATCAAAAATTATCCACAAGTCCTTTGTGGAGGTGAATGAGGAGAGCACAGAGGCAGCAACCGCCACAGTTGTCAGAGCTAGGCCTTGCTGGATGATGCAAGTGCAAAATTTCGTTGCCAACCATCCATTCATCTTCATGATTCGTCACAACTCCTCTGTCCTGTTCTTAGACAGATTGTGTTCCCCTTAGAGGCTGTAGAAATATACGGTCAAATAGAGTTTTATCATCTGACTTTTAATGCAACTATAACGTCACTAATAAAACTACTGTCCAAAACCAAATATTTAATTTCCTTTGTAAGTGCAGCTCTGCTGGGTCTTCACATCCAAGTCTGCTGCCACAGGGGTCATATTTCCTCTCTTTACAGTATGAAGCTCCAGGACTGTTTTTGAAAGTGTCAAGTTAAAACAGACATCCCAGATGTGTAAATTCTTGACAAAGCAGTTGTCTGTGCAGGGAAACATGAACACACTATGGTTCAGTGAATAGAACTTTAGACATCATCATAGACACTCTGGGAGTTGCAGGGAGCCTTAAAAGCAGACAATCAGTTGAAACAGAGGAGGGATTCCGATTAAGCCTCCATTTAGCAAAGATAACCTTACTTTGGTCTTTGTCCTAAAGAGTTACGTGCCATAGGACTAGTTTTCAGGCCATTACATTTTTTTTATGAATTAATATATTTCACTTCCATCTTTTTAGTCCCATGTTCTGCCACTACCCTACCACCCATGAACGATCATCATACTACCTATGTTCATGGCCCCTCCCACAACCCTCTCTTTGCTGTGTGCCTAAGAGCTATGGTCAGCTTGATAGTTTTGACATTTTCTTGAACTTTTGTTTGGTTTCTCTATATTCCACATATAAGTGTTTATCTCTTTCCTTCTGACTTACTTTGGCTGGCATAATGCTCTCCAGCTCCGTCCATGTTGCCACAAGTAGCACAAGTTTGCTTTTTTGACTGCCGAGTCATATTCCATTGTGTAAATATATCACATCTTCTTGTTCCATTTGTCTATTTTGGGGCATTTCCATAACTGGGTTATTGTAAATAATGTTGTAAAAAGCATGGGAGTGCAGGTTCCGTTCGATTTAGTGTTTTACTGTCCTTCGGGTAGATCCCTAGGAGTGTAATTGTTGGATCAAAGGGTGGATCCAGTTTTAGTGTTTTTAGGGTTCTCTACCCTCTACCCAGCTTTCCATAGTGACTGGAGAGTTTATGTTCCCACCAGCAGTGTAAAAGTTTCTTTTATCTCCACATCCTCCCATATTTGTTGTTTCTGGATTTTTTTAACGTGGAAAATTTTCACTGGAGTGAGGCAGTATCTCCTTGAGGTTTTGATTTGCACTTCCCTGATTATTAATGATGTTAAACATTTTTTCACACGTCTATGGCCTTTTCTATTTCTTCTTGGAGAAGTCTCTTTTTCTCTTTCTGTACAATTTTGACTGGAAATTTGCTTTGTTCAGAATATTAATTAAATAGCTGCCTGGCAATCCCCTGTGCTCCCTGTTATGTTCTCCTTTATCTGACCCACGTGTCGCTCTTGTGAGGCCCATGGAGTCAAGAAGTGGGGGTTCCCATAAAGATTCCAAGAAACTACCAAAAGAAAACTGGAGTAGGAGAGACTGTTAAGCAAAGATCTCAGCTTCCCCCAACTACTTGGGTGTTTTCTCATAAAGACTCCCCACATCCATTATGACACCAGTTGCTATGGCAGTGGCTGGCTTATGTGGTCTGTGGTGGAAGAAGGGCTCTCTGCGTGGCAATTCATGGTGGAATGAAAGGAGAAACTTCCCAAGGAATAGTTCTGGGATATTTGGGATCATACGTGGATAAAAATTGCAGTTGATTCCTGCCTTAAAACCCAAGCAAATCTGAATTACAGAAGGACTGTAAAACTAAGGCAAGCCAGCAGTTTTATATTTATTTATTTATGCATACAAGAACTAGGGTACAGGCCAGAGGTGTGGAAGGTGAGAGGTGAGAGGATTCACCAGTGACAGAGTAGGGAAGCAGAACAGGCAGATCTACTGAAATACACTGCTGAGGGGAGCAGCGGGGAGATATAGGAGAGGTCTGCTGTGCCACATGGGTCACCTCCCTTGGCGGGGATTGAACATGTGCTGCAGTGGCTGTGGATTGCTTCAGTGCTGACTCTTAACCCCTGACCCACCAGGGAGGCCCTGGGGGATGGTTTTGATTACAACACCTGATCAGCAGACTCACCTCCCCCTGAAGCCCTAGATGACACAAGCACATTTCCCATTTTTACCCAACCTTCCTCTTTGTCCTCCCACCCCACGTAACTGAAGCGGTATGATTATTCTGTCACTAAAAAAACCAGGTTCTTGCTTTTTCAGTATCACCTGCATTGTGCTGCCTGTGCTACGATGCCTGTTTCTCCTTCAGCGCTGTGCGGCTGACGCAACAGGGAACCACTCAGCCAGCACTGGGGTCCTGTCTCCTGCTGCACACCTGGTCTGCTGAGGCCATCAGCTTCGCGTGGAGCCAGGCCATGAAATCGGGGTCCTGGCCTGGCAGAAACACCCTCTCAGCCCTCCCTTCACGCCAGACAGTGTGGCCTCCCTGTCAACATGGAGGGTGTGGAAACCAGGTCAAGGTCATCCAGCAGCGGCCACATTGACACGCGAGGGCCCCATATGCAGCCCTCACAGAAGGGGTCCTCCTTACCGAAAGGGATTGGTGGAGAAAGGAGTCCTCTGTCCAGTCCCAAGACAGGGCCCTGGGATGCCTCCAGCGGGCGGTTTGTGGGCAGCACCTCTCTCCACATACCCGAAGCTGGACCAGAGAGCAATGGAGAAGCCGCACCCAGAGGTGGTCCCGGACGGGCAGGAGGAGTTACCAGCTCCCAGAGGTGGCCCGGACGGAGTGTCGGTCACCACCCGTCACCAGCGCTACAGCTGTTTGTGAGTTGTGGGCTCACCAACACCAAGCAGCTCACTGAGACACCAGGCCCCAGAGGCTGCTGCCCCCTTCAATGGATATCAGAGGCAGGCCTGAGGGCAGTGGCTCCAGACTCCACCCCCAGCCTCTGAGAAGCTCTTTGCATTCTTTTTTTTTTTTTTAAAGATTTTATTTATTTTTATATAAGAGCTGGGGTACAGGCCAGAGGCACAGGAAGGTGAGAGAATTCACCAGAGACAGAGCAGTCAGAGGACAGAAATACACTGCTGAGGGGAGCAGCGGGCACAACAGGAGAGGTCTACCCCGCCATGTGGGAATCTCCCTGGCCGCCTGGGAATGGAACCAGCGCTGCAGAGGCTGCAGACAGCTTCACAGCACTGCGCTCAACCTGCTGCGCCACCGGGGAGGCCCACTCTGCCTTATTTACGAAGCTTTTTGGCTTCTCTTCTTTCCTTGGAGGTCAGCTGCTGTCTTCCTATCCCATTCAGAGTTCTGGAACACAGTAATCTTTCCTGGGAGGCCAGGAAGAGCATCAGGCCCAGAGTGTGGGTCCCAAGCTGGCGCCTGCCCCGCCTCATCTCGATCAGGGCACCCACCTACCAGGCTGTTTGACCATTCTCTATCCACTGGCTGATTGGACCATTTGCCAATCAGCTCACAGCCAGCACCTGACCCACCACCAAGCACCCTCCACGGGCCTCTCTACTGCCTGCAGCTGGAGGAGCCTCAGTGCTGGGGCTGGTCCCGTGGGGCCCCATGATCCTCCCTGCGGCCCTGAGCCAGCAACAGCTGCCTTCATTGCTGGCGTCAGTCTGCAGCCTTAGCGCTAGTGTGGTCACTAATGGTGGGCAGTGAAATGCCCTCCACGTGCTGCTGCTGCTGCTTGCATTGCTGCAAATAGCTTTTGGGGGCGGACAGAAGATGGTCACTGCCAGTAACCATGAAAGGCTTCCCATGCATGTTGGTTTCTGTCTTCCAACAATCTGACAGGCATGTACAGTCTCAGTTATTAAACTCCTTTTTTTTTTTTTAACGTGGAGAGCATGTTTACACCTCATTACTGTGGTTTTCTTTGCCCTTTTGCATTATAAAGTTTCTTCTCCTTCCCTTTTCAAAGTGAGACTTGCATGAGATCAGGGAGCAAGTTTTGATGGATGCAGAATTACTTCACACCTCAAGTCCTATACAGTTTGGTAAATACAAACCCATGCAGTCAAGGGAAGACCCAAGCCACCATCCTCTCCCCCGTAGTTACTTTAATATTCAACCACAGACATTCTATTTCACCATATAGTGGGTAAAAATTGGGTAAGCCTAGAGTTTATTACAATGGTCAAGAAATACTTGACTCACACCGTTGTGAATCATCATGGTGTTCGATGAGTCCACCTGCCTTGTGAGGGGAGGGTGGGGTCTGAACTCCCTTTGGTTGCTGAAAGTTATCAAGGACATATTCACCAAGTGCCATCAAGGGTGCTGTTTGGAGCTGATTGTGTTTCTTGTTGTTCTGGTGGGTCTTTCTTTCCACTTTGAAAGAGGTGCTACATTTCCTTACGGAGAGAGAGAGTTTGGAGTATTTATAGAGCTTGGATTCTCTATACAGGTCTGGCTAGTTTGCCTTTTAAGAGGTGACAAATGTCATCTCAGTCATTCACCCCTTAGTAAGAAATAGTCCATGAGGTCCTTGTCAGCATCCCAGTTTGCCTACAACTCAGAAAGGTGCTTATCCCCTGTGGAGGGTGCTGTGTGGAGTTGGTGTTGGGCTCCACTAGTCAAGACTGACCCTGGCTTTGCAGACTGAAGGAAATCCCCTTGGAAGGGGTTGACCTGTGTACAGGGCACTCCCTGTCTGCATGTATAAAGTGGAAGCTACAGGACCTTCTGCCTAGACCTCACACTCCGAAGCATACGGTCCCACCAAAAAATCGGTAAGACGAGAGGCAGGGGCGATGCAAGGAGGTGGGGTGAGCAGAAAGGCCAACAGGGGGCTCAGGGGCTGTGATCAGGAGCAGCACCCCCTGGCATTGCCTTGGCGGGGTAGAGACAGGCCCCTCTGACCAGGTCACTCTGGGGGTCCTCGGAAATAGCTTCTGGGCCAGGCTGTTGTGCCAGGAGGGTGGGCTGGAGAGGATGGTTGGGGCCTGGCTGCTGGAATGCCTGAGATCAGATTGCTTTTCCTTTCTCTCTGGAACTTGCTCCTCAGCTGTTTGTGAGTTTCCAGGCAGCCAGGGCCTGAAGCCACTTCTCTCTGTGGCTGGAGGACGAGGGAGGAGGCTGGTGAGATCTAGTGATTATGCATCAGTCACAAAAGAATCCATTACATTCCATACACGCCAAGCAGCCAGCACCCCTGGTATTCATCCTGACCTAAACTTGGGGAAACTGGGGTTCAGAGCAGGGACACCATGGGGTGATCTGGTGCTTAACCATCCTGGGCGTTCTGCCTTCCGCAGGAGGGACAGAGAGTATCGCCTCACCTTAGCCCTTGCGGCTGCCCTGCCAGATGGGGTCTCAAACTCCTACAGCGGCTGCTGGCCTTGGGAGCTTACCCTCTCCCAACACTAGGGCCGGTGCCTCAAAGGTGCACATGACTGTACCTGCTTTGCTGAAATTTGCTTTAATGCATAGGAGGTGGCTGTGGTTATGGAGCAGAAACTTCCTTACACTCAGGGACACATCCCTGCTGATTCAGCTGCTGCAGGGTCAGACCCATAAAAAACTGGGACCACTGCTTCTTGGGCCATTGATGGGGCCACCTTTGCATGCTTGGGAAAGTGTCCTGACCCTGCTGGAAAAAAAGAAAAGAGGAAGTGACAGGTCTGGGGGGTTCAGGGTGGGTGGCTGGGGCTGAGGATGGGGCTGGGGAAATGCGGTTCCTAACGGCCCAGGTGCACAGGAGGACGCGGGCTCGGGTCTGTGTTGCAGCCTCGCCATGGAGCGGCTGAGCGCTGCCAACTCCGCCTTCGCCCTGGCCCTGTTCCGCACCTTGAGTGAAGACAGCCCCGGTGGGAACCTCTTCTTCTCTCCGCTGAGCATCTATTTCGTGCTGGCCATGGTCTTTCTGGGGACCAGAGGAAACACTGCAGCCCAGCTGTCCCAGGTCAGCAGGCACAGACAAAATGAGAGAGAGAGAGAGAGAGAGAGAGAGAGAGAGAGAGAGAGAGAGAGAGAGAGAATCCTTCCTTCCCTGCCAGCGTCTGTACCGAGGATGCAGAGAGCCAGCCTTGGGGCTCTCCCTGCGCATGTAAAATCCTTTTCTGTGCTCAGATCCCCTGTGGCCCCCCCACCCAAGTCTGTGGGGGAGACTTTCAGGACAGTCCATTTGCTGAGGGCTTTCCCTTTGAGTCCCATTTAATGAATGCCAACTTGGTGCCAGCTCTGTGGTGTGATTAGCCTAGAATGGGGGAACAACAAGCCAGGACCCCTGGAGCAGAGCAGGCCTCTGCTGTTCTGACTGCCAGACCTGGCTCTGTGGCCTTAGCCCGTTTTCGGGAATCGGCCTTTCCCGGGTCAGCTTTGCATGTGCAGACCTGCTGGGAACAGAGAACACTGGTCACATAAATTACTTCTGAGCAGATGGACTCCTGGAAATGCACTGCTGTGGAAGTTGGTGGACTGGCTTGCTGAGGGGGACAAGGAGACAGGGGAATCTGTATTCTGAGGCCCCGCCTGTGCCCAATACTGGGTGTGGCTCTAGGTTCTAATGTCCTGGGCTGCGGGCAGGAGGCCCTGCAGAGAACAGGCAGCGTGATGTGATGTGGGGATCTGCAGGGCAGACCCTGGGTGACTCTTCCAACTGGAAAGGTAGGTGATGCCCACCTTCTGCTCCCCTTATAGGTATGGGGGGCACCTGTGCCGGTGTGCCTTATTTCCGAGAGAGGGACCTTGGCTGTCCCTGACAGTGAGGGAAAGGAGTGGCTGCAGAAAAGGGCTTTCTGCCACCCCAGTCATACCTGACACTCACCTGCAGCCAGGACGGCCAGGCCTGGGGTCAGGGTGATGGACCTTCCAGCTGCAAAGCCTCTATGACTCCACTTCACGGAAACATCTCTAAGTGAATGAGACCCGCATCTGCAGAACCACAGATAGAAAAGCCTTTTAAAGTTTCCAGGATTCCACTGGTGCTAATTTGGATTTGCTTCTTAAAAGGTCACCTCAGCTCCATTCTGAGCCTTTCTGGGATTGTGTGACTGTAGTAAGAATAAACTTAAGAGTCTTCTGGACATTTCTATTAAAACAGGTGGATCACAGCACCAGGCAAATGTCCTGTATCTGTGATAACCTGCACTTGTGCACTCCGTGGGTTTGCACTTCTGTGTCTTCAAAGCCAGGAACAGCTCAGGCCTCATAAAGCCATAAAAACATTCTTGATTTGCAACTGATATGTGGGGAATTAAACTTTTGCTAAATATTATGTTTAAAGAAGTATTTTAAATAAGTGAGTTACTGTTGCTCACGGTGTAATTAGGAAAAAAAAACCCTCTCTGTAATATCTTTGTTCCCGCAGAAATGATGATTCTTAGTTTTCAGGATTATTTCCCAGAAATTTCAGTCAAATAATATTGGATAAAATTTTTTGATGATACAAAATTAGATTTGAGTATTCATGTAAACACACCCTTTATGATTTTCTTGGGGAAAGGAAAGACTTGTAGAAATATTTAGTTTACTAACCACTCATATTTGCAGAACTAGAATTATAACTCAAAAAACTGACATAAAAGCTGGCTCTAAGGTGGGATGATTAGGTCTCACAAAGCTGTAAGGTTTGGATTCTCCATTGTTTGTTCTCCAAAGAAAAACTAATAAGGTAATAGTCTGGGGTCATCAGTGCTTAGGAATGAAAACATATTCACCTCATGGATGCAAACGCCTGGGAATCACTTTATAATTTCAAAGTAAATGTTTCTAGAAAATGTTTTCTTCTTTTAGACTCTTCATTTTGATGGGGTTGAGAAGGTTCATTCCAGATTTCAGAGTCTGATCGCTGCTGTCACCAAGCCAGACGCCTCCTATGTGCTGAAACTGGCTAATAGGTTATTCAGAGAGAAAACCTGTGTTTTTCTCCAGGTAAGTACTTTCTGCTTCAGTTCTATTGCTCACTAGACAATGTGTGCTTTTCCCCAGCAAAATCAAGGCAGTTTAAATATTTATAGACAGGAATTCCCTGGTGGCGCAAAGGGGTTAAGCACAGCGCTGAGAAGCTGTCCACAGCCTCTGCAGCACGAGTTTGATCCCCGGCCAGGGAGAAGACCCACATGGCGTGGCAGACCTCTCCTGTCTTGCCCGCGTCTCCCCTCAGCAGGGTATTCAGTCTGCCTGTTCTGCTCCCCACTCTGTCTTGTGCCACCAGGGAGGCCCCAATTTCTATTGTTCAAAGATCTTAGAAAATGACTTCTGTGGATACTGAGTCATTCATAACATTTATTGTCTTCTTTTTTAAAATAGGAGTTCTTAGATTCATCTCAGGAACTGTATGGCGCTAAGCTGGCCAGTGTGGATATTCAGGGCACCTCTGAAGGTGCCAGGAGGGTGATCAATGAGTGGGTCATGGAGCAAACGCAAGGTAAGCGGGTGGACAGAGAGTGGTCCTCACAAAGGATCCTGCCTCTGCATCTCCACTTCCCATCTGCATGGGATGCCCTCTCCACAACCTCTCCCTACCTCCTCTGCCCTCCTTCACCCTGGCGTGTACCCCATTACAGTGCTGTACAGCTATCAGACATAGAAATTCCATGCATCCCTCCTGGTGCAAGGAGTGAGTTGCAGCACTATGAAGCTATCCCCAGCCAGGGAACTGACCCACATGGCGTAGCAGACCTCTCCTGACTTGCACACTGCTGTCCTCAGCAGTGTTTTTCAGTAGATACAGTTGTCCTGCTCCCCACTCTGTTTCTGGTGAATCTTTTCATCTGCTGAATCTCTGGCCTGCACCCCAGCTCATGCAAGCATTAACAAAATAAATCTTTAAAAAAAAATTAGATTCCTTCAAGTGGAATAGCAGACATGATTTATCCAAAGTGCTAAATATTTCCCCCATGTTCCCTCAAACTACATTTTAAATTTAAAGCTACTATTGACTGTAGAATAAAAGGAATAAAAATTGGGGGAGTGGGAGGAGAAATCCAGCCAGTCCAAATTATTTAATACACCACTGGCAGGAAAAACCCTGAGATTTTGTATCAGGGCTCACCCACTTCTGGTTATGACCTTTTTCCTGCATCCTGGCTTGGGGTGTGGCGGGTACGGTCAGCTGTCCAGCTGGGCATCTGTCTCTCCCCCGGTCTGGAATGAGACGAGGCCTCTACAGACACCTGGGGTGTGTACAGGTTTGCTTAGGGGAGCCCACAATTCAGTGGTGGAACCATCCTGCCTTGGCATATTTTGAGGGTTGCTGAGAGGATTTGAAGAAGGACTGACTCTAGTGACTCAAAAACACTGTCATGCAAGACTATATATATTGTTACCCTGAAAAGAATGGCCAATCACAAACACGATTCCTTGTGATCACACTCCATAAAAGGGGCATTTTCCTGTTTTCTGCTCTTCAGCATATTAGACTCATATTGAAGTACAGGCTCTGGGGGGGTGGAGGTGTCACTCATCAGCCTGGTGAGTTGGTGCAGTCAGACACACCACGGGGGTTTTCACCTCAACACCATGTTCAAGCGAAATGAAATGGAAAAGGTCCATTTGAAATGCATTTCAGTGTTGATCAAATGTCAGTTTACATTTGGGGTGCTGTGAAGTGGGTTAACAAAAAACAGCTCACTCTATCATTTTAGGGAAGACTCTGGAAGTGTTGGCTGCAGATGTGGGAGATCACATGACTGTGCTTGAGCTGGTGAGTGCCATCTACTTCAAAGGCACCTGGGAGGACAAATTCAGAAAAGAGGAAACCACCGATGCCCCATTCAGGTTGAATAAGGTGAGTCCATGTACTGCCTCTTTGCTCTACAAGAGCAAACGTCCTCTTTGCTCTATAAGAATGCAGGTAATAGTGATTTTCCTTTAAACCTTTCAGCGAGAAACAAAAATGGTGAAAATGATGTACCAGAAGGAATATCTGCCATTCAGCTACATCCAGGAGCTCCAGAGCCGCGTGCTGCAACTGCCGTACAAGGGTGGGGAGCTCAGCATGGTCATCCTGCTGCCCGATGACATAGAGGACGAGTCCACAGGGCTGGAGAAGGTGATGCTCCTGCATTTTGTCCTTCTCTCTCCTTTCCTGTGTGAGTCCTCCCATGTGTGCTGAGTGGCCAGTGATCAATGTGCACTTACTGATGTCACTGCAAGTTCCAATTCTCTTATAATCTGTCCCGTCAGCATTTAGTACATGGGAGCCCTCCATCTAGAATTTCAGGGACTCTCAATGAACAGTTGTGGGCACCATGTAAAAACCTACCCTAGATGTAATGCTGGTCACAGGCAGCTCATGCAAACTCTCTTAAACTTTAGAGACTGAGTGTTGTTCTATTGAAATGAATTTCTTCAAAATTAACCGCCCCCCAAAATGGCTTATAGCTTCATCCTATGCTCTTAGTTGCTTTTATGACACTCTCCGATCTCCTTACAATGCACACAGATTGTGAATTCAATTCCCAGTAACTTTATCTTAGAAGAAAGCTCTGAGACAAATGAGCTTGAGGGTTAAGCCTGCTTCCTAGTGTGAACTTTGTATGAAGTTCTACTATAAGGACTTGAAGGCTATGGAATCTCTTTCCAGGACTGGGACCAGGCAAAACCTGAAGATTGTGTTTTTTTCTCAGTGTCTCTAGCCTTCCGTGTTATATCGCCAGTTTCTTCTTAATCAAACTTGCTCTCTGGAAGAGATCCTAATGTAGTATCTATTTGCATATACACAGGACGTCAAAATCAGCATGTCCTTCTTTCAATTGTATTTCCACCTTGATCTATTCTTTGATTATAAAAAAGAGTCTCATGAAAGGGATGACCCACAGCAATAGAACAAGTATAATGATGGTTCTGTTCTAGTCCCATCATGGTAATAAAACAGCAGTGATAACAGAGGACACTTACATAGTCCTTACTGTGTCCCAAGTCCTTTAATTCTAATGATAATGTTATATGGTAGGTGCTGTTATTACCCCATTTCAGATGAGGAAGTAGGATCTTTTCTATTTTTCCCTAGGAGCTAAATCTATTAGAGATTATTTCAACTTTATGTGGTTCACAGATCACCATATTGATTATTGTGGTCAGAATAAATAGAATAGAATAGATAGAAGAAAACTGTTACATTTTCCCTTACACCACTCAACCAATTAGTTAACATGTAATGTAGCCTTCACAGTAACAACCCTCAGGGCCCATCACAGTGATTCAGTATATACTGTGGAGTATTACTGTGTCCTGGGAGAGTGGGTAGACAGATGGGTAGGATGAAGCTGTACTCTGGGTGGGTGGATGGAGAGATGGATGGATGGTTGTTTGATGAGCTGATGTCCAACCTCCCTGCACTGTATTTCTTTGCACATTGTAATTCCAGATCGAGCAGCAGTTGACTGTGGAAAAGCTGCGTGAGTGGACCAAGACTGAGAATATGTGTCGTAGGAATGTCCACGTGCACTTGCCCAAATTCAAGCTGGAGGAGACCTATGATCTCAGCTCCAACCTGGCTCGCATGGGTGTGGGAGATCTCTTTAGCAGCAGCAAGGCTGATCTGTCTGGCATGACAGAAGCCAGAGATATATTTGTATCAAAATATACCCACAAGTCCTTTGTGGAGGTGAGTGAGGAGGGCACAGAGGCAGCGGCCGCCACAGCTGTCACAGCTTGGGGTTGCTCGAAGATACAAGTGCAAAATTTTGTTGCGGACCATCCATTTATCTTCATGATTCGTCACAACTCCTCTGGCAGCATCCTGTTCTTAGGCAGATTGTGTTCCCCTTAGAGGCTATCGAAATATACGGTCAAATAGAGTTTTATCATCTGACTTTTAATGCAGATATAACTTCATCAATAAAACTACTGTCCAAATCCAAATCTTTAATTTCCTTTGTAAGTGCAGCTCTGCTGGGTTTTCACATCCAAGTCTGCTGCCACAGGTGTTATATTTCCTCTCTTTACAGTGTGAAGCTCCAGGACTGTTTTTGAAAGTGTCAAGTTAAAACAGACATCCCAGATGTGTAGATACTTGATGATGACAAAGCAGTCATCTGTGCAGGGAAACATGAACACACTGTGCTTCAGTTAGCAGAACTTTAGATGTCATCATAGACACTCTGGGAGTTGCAGGGAACCTTAAAATCAGACAATCAGTTGAAATAGAGGAAAGAATCCCGATTAAGCCCCCATTTAGCAAAGATAACCTTACCTTGATCTTTGTCCTAAAGAGTTACGTGCCATAGGACTAGTTTTCAGGCCACTAAATTTTTTTTATTAATATATTTCTCTTTCATCTTTGTAGTCCATGTTCTCCCACTACCAAATCACCCATGAACTATCATCATATTACCTTGTGTTCATATGCTCTGCCCCCACCTTCTCCTCCGCTGTATGGCTCAGAGCTATGGTCAGCTTGCTAGTTTTGACATTTTCTTGACCTTTTTTTTGGTTTCTCTATATTCCACATATAAGAGAAACGATCTACTATTTATCTTTTTCTGTCTGACTTACTTTGGCTGGCATAATGATCTCCAGCTCAATCCATGTTACCATAAGTGGTAAGAGTTTGCCTTTTTGATTGCCTAGTAATATTCCATTGTATAAATGTACCACATCTTCTTGTTCCATTTGTCTATTTTGGGGCATTTCCATAACTGGGCTATTGTAAATAGTTTTGGAAAAACATGGAAGTGCAGGTTTCCATTCGATTTAGTTTTTTAATGTCCTTTGGGTAGATTCCTAGGAACGTAATTGCTGGATCAAAGGATAGATCCAGTTTTAGTGTTTTAGGGTTCTCTACCCGCTACTCAGTTTTCCATAGAAGCTAGAGCAGTTTACTATTCCATCAGAAGTGCAACATATTTGTTGTTTCTGTTTTTTTTTTTTTAATGTGGAAAATTTTCACTGGAGTGAGGTAGTATCTTCTTGAGGTTTTGATTTGCATTTCCCTGATTATTAGTGATGTTGAACATTTTTTCACACGTCTATGGCCATTTCCGTTTCTTCTTCGGAGAAGTCTCTTTTTCTCTTTCTGCCCAATTTTGACTGGAAATTTGCTTTGTTCAGAACATTAATTAAAGAGCTGCCTGGCAATCCCCTGTGCTCCATGTTGTGTTCTCCTTTATCTGACCCATGTGTTGCTCTCGTGAGGTCCCAGGTAGTCAAGAAGTGGGGGTTCCCATAAAGATGCCAAGAAACGACCAAAAGAAAAATGGAGTAGGAGAGACTGTTAAGCAATTGGGGGGCAACGATCTCAGCTTCCCCCCCACTATTTGGGTGTTTTCTCATAAAGACTCTCCATGTCCATCATGACACCAGTTGCTATGGCAGGCAGTTGCTGGCTTATGTGCTGTGGTGGAAGATGGGGCTCTCTCTGTGGCTATTCAAGGCTGGGAATAAAAGGAGAAAATTCCCAAGGAATATTTCTGGGCCCTTTGGATTCATACGTGGACAAAAATTAAGTTGATTCCTGCCTTAAAACCCAAGCAAACATGAATATCAGAAGGACAGTAGAACTAAAGCAAGACAGGACTTTTAAAAAAGATTTATTTATTTATGCATACAAGAACTGGGGTACAGGCCAGAGGTTTTAGGGGTAAGAGGGTTTAACATAGAAAGAGTGGGGAACAGAACAGGCAGACTGACTGATACACACTGCTGAGGGGAGCAGCGGGCGAGTTAGGAGAGGTCTGCTGCACCATGTCGGTAGCTCTCTGGCCGGGAATGGAACTCGTGCTGCAGTGGCTGCAGACAGCTTCCCAGTCTGACACTTAAGCCCTTGCACCACAGGGAGGCCCCAAGCCACCATTTTTAAAGGATAATGTATGAGTATAGATAGCTTCATGACCTTGTGGAGGGAGTCACAGCTGAGCAGGAGACTAACATGCACACAGCCATTGTTCAATATTTCTAGTCTTTTGGACATTTTTGAAGGTAAATTGGGCTAAGTTCTCTGAGGTTCAAAATACAGTGAACCATACCATCTCACACCTGTGAGAATGGCCCTATTAAAATGACCCCCAAGAAGAAGTGTTGGAAGATGGGGAGAGCCAGGAACCCCATTCCCCTAGATGAAAGCTGGTGTGTTCATTACAGAAAGTGGGCTGCACTGACCTTACGAAATAACAATGGAAATACCATATGACCCAACCTCCCACTCTTGGTCATCTGACCTTATATCAGTCCCAATAGCCATATGTTGTGCAATGTTTGTTCCAGCCCCATGACAACAGCAGCCCGTGGTCCCTGGAATAGCCGAATACCTGTCCGTAGGGGACCGGATCAAGGGTCCACACTGTGCAATATGTTCACCACAAGGAGCCATGACAGGCAGTGATGGAGCAATGGAGCAAGTCCAGGGTACAGTAAAGCAATGAAAAAAAAATACTGGATTTAGCTAGTGGACAATAAGACCAAGTAAAACAAACACTGGGAGACATTAATAAACAAGGGGGGAGGTTGTAGGGGAGGATTAGGGAAGGGGGTGTCCAGGACAGTGGCAGAGAATAATGTTGAACTTCATCCGCAGCACACACCAACGAGACTATAAGAGACTCGGAGGGAAGGTTGAGGGGGGTACGTCCCAAGGAGAGGTGACAGCTAGGTGTGTCCCCGATGACTGGATTTATATTCCAGGTCTCCCCACTTCATTCTGTTACTTTCGGGTACAGGGTGCATCCCCCAAGTGAGGGCCCTGCCAGCTCCTGCAGCCCTAGCCCAGCCCCACCCTGGGGACTGGGACTGACGCCCTCGCCTCTCACACAAAGGGAACTGAAAGTGGATCATGGGTTTACATGGGAGATGTAGAACCATAAACTCTTAGAGTAACCCAAGGGAACATCGTCAGGACCAGCACTAGATGAAGAGTTCTCAGGTCTGACCCAAAAGCACAGTCCATAGGAGGGAAATTGGATAAATTCACATGCAAAGGACTGATCTGTCTGCTCCCCCACCCCCCAACTGAGGAAGATCTCCAGGCCCCTGAGGCGCTGAAACATCCACATTCTAACTGTCACGGTGTATTGTGCCAGTAAGAGCCCCGCTCAGAACCTATTTTAGACCTAATTCCAATAAGATCAAGAACACAATTGTCAGAACCCCTAATCCCTGTTCCTGCGTCCACAGGGCCCCCGGGCCTATCCCTGTAACACACGAGACACAGACTTGGCTCAGCCTTTCCTTTCAAAGAAGCCCCTCACTCTAGGCCAGGGCAGCCCCAGCTTCACTGTGAAGGGGGCGGGTGAGGGTCAGGGAGAACAGGGGTGCAGGAGATGGCAGGGGTGAGGAGCGACCTAAGAACCTGAAAGAGTGAGAGCTTTTGTAGGGATTTTGGACTTGGGCACTCATTCCCACCTAGTATAGCATCTCCCTGTACAAACCTCCCATGGGTCGGGAGTCAGGACCAGCCTCCTGTGAGAAGGCAAATCTAGGAGTGAAGCGATGGCAGCTCTGGGCACTCCCAGCTGGGCCAGCCTCTGAGTTGGGGGTGTATGTGGCCCTGGAGGCTACAGAACAGGCAGAGACGCCCCTTGGGGAGACCACCTCTTCCCAGGGATTTTGTTCCAGACTCTGGGAGGGCAGAGACCCGAGATGACCCCTAGAGCAGTAGTCGCTGGCCCAGTTCAGGGCTCCCAGGTGGAGCCTCTGCGTGGGGAAAAATCCCTGGGGGATAAGAGGTGAATCCATGCCGGGGGGTGATGCCCTCCCCACATCCCCAGGAATATGGGCTTGGTGCTCACAGACCCAGTCTCTGCTGGCTCGATGGTACAACTAAGAATCAGGCCTGTTCCCTCAGATGAGCACCCTGTCCCCCAGCATCTGGAAATCACGCGTTACCTGCCAGAGTGGACATCTTCCTAACACTCCCCACTATTCCTGGGGTGGCCCCTGAGACAGGGAGGGGAAGATCCTCACAGTCATCCCCTGCCCGCCAGCGCCACCGTGTGGCTGGAACAGGAAGGAGCCCTCGCCAGGTCTGGGCCCATGGAGGCCTGGCTGGTCAGCCCTTTGCACTGGGACTTGGCTCTTTTATCTGAGGTGTGGACAGAGAGGGGTGGACGGTCACGGATAAGTCCTGGTGGGGACAAGGGTTTCACCTGCAAGAGTCTGAGCTGGTCCCTGTTGTCCTTGGCTCCTGTCCTCTCCTGGCATCTGGAAGCTGGTGTCCTAGTCAGTGGGGAGCCCTGGTTGTGAGCTCCCAGGAGCCACAGCAGGTCGGTGCACAAAGAGCGCCCTCTGCTGCCCCCAAGTGGGATGGCGGGTCCCCATGGTGCCTGGTCACCCTTAAAGCACACTGACTTGGGTAATGTGGTATCAGCATGTCCTGGGTGTTCTGAGCAACCAGTAGCCGGGATAATCACCAGGGGAATGAGGGTGATTATGTAACAGGGTGGTCCCCAGGAAAGGGGGAAGTTCCAGGTTCCCTGCCCCACCCAAGGGAGGGTGGAGCAGAGCAGGAAGAGGAGAAGCTGCAGAAGAGACTGAGGAAGGAAGCAGGATGGAGCCAGGAGACCTGGAGGAGGCACGTGGAGCCTAGAGACACGTGAAGAAACTGCGCTTGTCTTTTGGTCGTGGACTGGGTGACACAGATGTGGGTGAGACCCGTGGGGAGGTGACAATGGCAGCTTTTATCTTGATGTTGATGTTGCTCTTTTCCTTCCGGGCTTGTCTGGTTATTTCTGACCCTTTGCTGTGGGTCCCCACTGGAAGATGCTTTAGACTTGTGGCAGGCTTTGGGGCCTTGCTCTGGGCCGATCCCATATGGATGGACTTTTACCCACGAGGGGACGGGTAACTTTGGG